TCGGTAGAATTAGTCCTTGTCGACAACACAGGCAAAGAAACTAGTTTTCTAGCACAGTCTAGTGTAGCATTATTAGCTGCTAGCCAATCCATGCCAACTATCACATCAATCCCTTTTATGGGAATGCAAATCAGATCGATCACAAATACTCCATCCTCAAATACAATCTCAGCTTTCTGACATGCTTTGCTAGTAATACTTGAGGATCCAGATAGCATAGTTACTTTAATCAACACAAGTAACTCTTTTAGTTTTAATTTTAGCCCATCTACACATTCTTCTGAGATGAAGGAATGTGTAGCTCCTAAATCCAACAATGCTTCAATTCTATTACCACAAATAAAAATTATACCTTTAATCAAGTTTGGAGACGCTCTAGCCTCTTCCTGTGTCATAGTAAGTACTCATCTCAAAATTGTTGACCGCTACTTTGTCACCTCAATTCCACCCTTAGGACAATACTTGGCGATATGGCCTAGCCTCTCACACTTGAAACAGAACTAACACCTTCCCATGTGAAATCTATTGCAGATACTGCACTAAGGTGATCTTCTAGTGCTAAAGGTTGGAGCTGGGGTATTCGAGGCTTGCCTTAAATGTTGTAGAGGCCCAATTTTGACCCCATTACTCCTCTACACTGACCCTCTTTGAAATGACCGAGTCGAAGAACCTCTACCAAAGCTCCTTTTCCCAGAAGCTCTAGAACTACTCAAGCTATACACAAGCTTCTTTGATACACGACCCGATGGACCCAAAGAAGGTGTAAATCTTTCCATACTATCCCTCTTCTTCTCAACCTCTACTTCCCTACCTCTCTTTGCAATTATTCTCAACTTATGGTACATATCCTCATATGTAGTGGTGTCGAACAAAGCAATTTGCTGTCTATACTCTGGAGGCATCTTTTATAGGAACAACTTTGCCTTCTACTTCATGTCATTATGGTGCTGCAGATATGTTGAATATGATAACAAATCATTAAATCTTTTGATAAACTCCTCTTCATCCAAATCCCCTTGCTTAAATGCATGAAACTCTTCCTCTTTCTTAGTATAAAAGGATGCTGGGAAGTAATAGTCAAAGAACATCCTTTTAAACTCTTTCCAGGAATATCTCACGCCACCAGATGGTCTCACTGAATCCCACCATCTCCTAGTTGCTCTGACCAATTGGACTATGGCTAAAATCACTTTTTGTTCTAATATGCAGGTCACCACCTCAAATATTGTCTTGAGATGCTCAATCCACTACTCGGCTTTCCCCTCTTTCATACTATTGTCAAATGTAGGTGAACTGAACCTCACATAAGTCTTCCAAGCTCGGTCGATAGCTAAATCTATAGCAACTCTCATAATCTGTCTAATACTTGAAGCTTGCGGCAGCTTAGGTCTATTATGAGCTTCCTCCTAGATCGAACTCTCTTGACCTTATCTTTCCTCTGCTTGATCTCTTCCCTTTAGTAAGACATCGTGATCTCACACTGTTTGTCTAATGTCAATAATCATATCTCTCAACTCTTTTAACAAGCCATCTCTTCTATCGGCTTGTTATGGCACATCTGGTTGAACCTCTGGCACATGTTCATCATCTACCAAATGCCTAAACGCTCGAGTGCTACGTGAAAATCGAGTACCTCTTCATCTCATTTTCTCCCCTCTTAAGGATAAAAGTAAAAGAAAAGTAAACAAAAGGAAAAGAATAGATGTAATGAACAATACACAAGTTTCCAAATCTAGGATGAATGCAACAAACAAAAAGGGCAACTAAATTTCGAAACTTGAGAAACCGATACCAACTTATTTATAATGTCTTTTATTGACATTACCATACGCTTCACTACAATCAATCTTAATTAATTCAAAATCATTTAATTTGAAAACTTTAAAAACCTTGGGATCTCAAGAAAAGATTTTCAGAAATCATTTTTTAAATCAATCGGGTTATAAAATTGTACACATAGCAGAAGTAATAAGTATATGGGTATCAAATACCAAGGAAACATGTGCATTTCAACAAAATTAAATCAAATATGGGATCGTGTGCCGTGGCTTGTGCCACATATGCCATAGCATGTGGCACAAAGATCACAGTCATTTTCTCTATGCCGTGGCCACGGCACACAAATTTGATTTTTTCTATCAAAATGTAGATTTTTGATGTGAACTTCAGATATGCACTGTTTCCACATCTGATGTCTAATTGGGGTGGTTCAAGCGCCCACACGAAGCTTTATTTAAAATTTAACTAATAACACCGATTTCATTTCAATTCAATATTTTTATCAAAAATTGAACACCCAAGTGCATTTTGACTATTTAAGTCAAACTTTTGCCACTCAAGTATCTCAATTCGAAATCAAATGTCATTAGCTACTTTTTGAGGCTTTGACCACGTTCCAATGGCCAATACATACTTGATTGACCATACACATGTACAATATAATACGCACACATATTTGGCCTGTAATTCACCCATTTCACAGTTTTTGGGCTAAAACTCATTTTTCATTCTTTCATCTTATAGAAGGCCAAATTATCACACATACTCTTCAAACATCCCATATTCACACACATATACATTTATCCACCAGCCCACTCTATCATTTCAACATCAAATCATGCATAGAAATTAACAAAACTGAAGTTATATAATTACTTTTACATAGTTATAATAGTTAACAAATATAATAAACTATGTGGTTACTTTAACTCTTCCGTCCGATAGAAAGGTTTACTCATGTAATTTCCTAATTCAAATCTCTTTTTGCTTATCTGCTCGTCACATACTAGAATCTACACAAAATTGACAAACTAAAGTCAATCTTATTATTGACAAAAGTGCCAATTATCACAGTTAAGCACCTAATTGCTATCTTCCACAATTCACACTCACCATAGATTACCTTTCACTACAAGCTTTTACCTTCAACTAGTCAACTTTCTCTCACTACACTCTCTAGATTGGGGCAAATCATGCTAGCTTTATCATTCTGACTTTAACAAGTCACAAATTACCAGTTTAGTTTCGGAGAACCTTTTTATTACTATAAGGTAAGATATTAACTCCTTAAAACTTCTGAATTTAATTTCTCACTAGTTAAAACTAAAAGAAAATAGGGTAGAATCGGAGGTTAAGACAGTAAGAGATTTACCTGATAAGTTAATAGGTTAGAAATGTCATCCTTGCTCCTAAAGCCACTTGCCCTAGCACAACCTCTTCTCTTCTCCATATCAGAACCACTTTCTCATGTTCTCCCTTTCTGTTTCATGAGTTGGACACGTCCCTATTAATCAAAGTTCTGCACCATGAGCCGCAATGCATCTATCCCCTATCGCGGCACGTGGCACAGTGAGGGAAATCCTCACTATATTCACTCGCTCTGCTTTGGAATTTCGTTCTTTCACTCATATTTGTTCAAATAACATCCCAATGAGTCAATACAACACTTCACTACTTAGAACCTTAATCCCACGTTAAATTACTAATTCATACACTAATCAGTCTTTAACACAAGATTAGAAATTTGAGATGTTATAACAACCACAACAATCTCCTAATACATTCATTCCACCAATTTCATCCTTTTGACCTAACTTTTAGACTATTTTGAGTTTAAACTCTCAATGCTCAACTATTCAACTCCATACTAGTCACAAAACTTTAATTTTGTATTCAATAGCTTGTTTTAAACCCTTTCATTTAGATTAAAACATTTTAAAACCTCATGATTTAATTTCTCAACCGATGACATTCAATGAAAAAGGGGTAGAAATGAAGCTTGGAATTGCGTGATACCTACTCAACAAGTTATTAATCGAAGTAGACTCCAAACCTCCAGATATTACTTGCCCTAATAGAGTTAGCCTTCTTTTCCCGTCCAGATGTGTTTCCAGCAATTCCTCTTCTGATTTCACGAGTTGCTCATGTCAACTTTAAGTGATCCCTGGATGGTGCACCATGGTGCAAGTAGCTTCCGCCACGACACATGGAACAATAAAAAAACTCTCACTTGTGCTTGTGCATTATGCCTTGAATTATCTTTTTACCCTTCAATTCTATTAATATAATATTCAAACAATACTAAACATTAACTCAACATTCAAACTACAATTAATTCACTAATTACTAAATTATCCCTAATTAGCAACTAGTTCCTGGGATTGAAATTTAGGATGTTACATTCTAGTACTCCTTTGTTCAATAAATATAATCATGGAAATTGGTTAAAGAGTTTGAGATATTAGTTATGAATTTTTTTATTTAAAAGATTGATTATTTTGATTGATTCATGTAAGTTTGATATTGATGAGAGGAATTTATATTTCAAAGAGTAATTATTTTATAGCATGTTTAAAATGGTTTTCAAAGGGACTATATATAGAACATTAGTTGTTAATAGTAGCTCCGATAGCCCTTGGCACGCCATAGTTAATAACTAGTTAGTTTGAAATTCATGAGTTCTGTTGTCACGTTTGTTATTCATGGGTCTAACACCTACGTTTGATTTCATAGCTTCAAGTTGCATTTAATTAGCATTACCCTTATGGACTGTGTGTCCACATTTATTTCATAGTTTCAGTTGTGTTTGATTACTTACCCTCGTAGATTGTATGTCCACATTTGTTTTCATGGCATAAGCCGTGTTTGATTATTTACCCTTGTAGGCTATGTGTCCATGTTTGTTAATTGTTCTGATAAGTCCCTGTAATATGAATTTGATTATTTGGTAATTTTACATTCCATTGGTTTTAAATAGTAAATTATTTATAATTATTTATTTTGTTTATTTGTTTCCTTGCAATCAAGTGATAATATTATTTGATATGATATTTTAATGGTTCAAGATTTTATTTAAAATTTATAGAATCCTTTTATTCTGAAGGTCATTAAATTTTTATAAAAATCGTTGCCTCTTTAACTTACATAATTATTTAAAATTTTTTTATATTCAATTATTTATTGTTGGGACGTTATTCACTGAAAAATATTTTTGATCTTAGATAGCATGTACCTCCATCAGATCATTCAAGGGATTTTGCTATTGTATTGAAGTTGGGATGCCATTTTGGTTAATCTTTATTATTGGTGTAAAATTTTAATCTACATATTGTACTTTTATAAATAATGTTATAGATGCTCCATATAGGTTATGATTAGGGTCCTTGTTATGTTAAATACTTTGTTTGCTGGCTGAATGGAGTCGATTTCCTAGTTGTTATAATATTTATTTGAAAATTTATATTATAGAATGTCAAGGGATTTCATTTTTAAGGGGAATTTTGCCAAAATTTTCACAAAATATTAAGACTCCATTTAAATGAAAAGGATTTTTAAAAATGGAAAAAAATTCCTTGAATTAGGCTCAAGAGACATGTATTTAGGTACATATCCCATGCCAGTCACTCTCATATTTTAGGGCATGACAAAATGCCTTATCATAAATTTTCATTTGGAATTAAATTCTCGATCATTACATATAATTCAAATAAACTTACCTTAATGAAATCTATTAGTTTAATTTAAAGGTATGGCACATGGTAAAAATATCATTTGTGAAAAGTAATTCTTACATATATTCATTTAAAACATGATTCTAGATCTTTCTAATAAATTTTAATTTACTTGAAACATTTCCATATATAATAGTTGTTAATAGAATTAAAATCATATCATCATATATATATATGCTCAATTAATATTTTTAAAAAAACAAATTTGTTAACATATTATTGGGACGTTATTTACTTACTTGATATGTTCCACAAATTCTATAGTTTACTTGTTATCACTTCTTTTCAAGATCTTGTTCCACACACCCTATATAAAAATAAATAAAACTTTAACTGACTTCCCATAAATTATATACATTTCTTTCCACTACTAACACAACCCCAATCAACTACATCCATTCAAAATTCCAAAACATCAAAATTCATATCTTAAAATTTGTTCAATAGCATTGTCATTTATCACCAATTTCCTTCATACCACTTTAGTCATAAATAATTATTTAAATGATATGTATGTATGTATGTATGTAATATCCTCTCTGAGACCTTTCAACAAACTCTTAGTGTTCATCAATTCCTAATTCATTCAATGGAGCTTTTATCCATAAATCATTTACTCAATTTTTCATCATCAACTTTTAGAATTTATCATACTCTTAAAAAAATCACTAATTCCAATTCTAAGTTTCCTTGTTGAGAATAATAACCTTCCATATAGTTTAATTATCAAATAAAAAAAATCCTCTCATCAAGCATTCTACCAAACACCTTGCATGCATCAGTGTTGAAATGATAATATCAAGCTTCTTCCTCTCTAATTCCCTTTTTCCAAAATCTCCAATGACAATATTTAAATTAATCAAACTTCCTAAATTTCATTCATTCAGCAAAAGTTAGTTTTAAACTCAGAAAATCAAAATCCCCATCCATTCATCAACAAGTAGTAACCAACTAAAATAAGATTACCTAATGGAAATGTCCTCCAATCTCTAGCTTGCTCAGAACCCTCTCCCCCATGCATTCACAACCAACATCTGAATAAGGAAAGAAAATAATTTTTTCAATCACTTGAATATATACACACATGGACATGACGAGGAAGAGAAGTGAAAGGATGAACTTAACTCGCCAATGAAGCAAGGAGAAATGAAGAGAAAGGATTTAAGGTTCCACATCAGGCAGACTAAAGCAGAGCGAGTAAGAAGAATTTGATGAAGCAAAATCGAAATGGAGGAAGAACTAGCAGCCAATGGTGACACCTGGTGATGACAAAACGAGGCTCCTCCGTGCACAACCTTGCCGGCGACGAACAGAGGAGAACCTGACACTCACACACTGCAATTCTGTCAGGGGAGTGGGAAGATTTTGGTGCTCCCACGATCACCAGCGGTGAACAAGCAAGGAAAAGATGAAGGGATTCGCATTTTGGGTCCTGAGTGGTGGTGCTCTCTCTGGTTTTGCTGACATTAGATGAAAAGGAAAATGGAGGAAGAAAAAGAAAAGCCCGTGTATGTTCTGATATTTTCATTCTTTATTTTTATTAGGGTCATAATGGTAATTTCAAGAGGCTGTGGGATAAAATGAAATCCCTCGCTTTGCACCACAAGGATTCGAACTAAGGACCAAAGGCAGGCACTAAGGAGGATTTCCACTACGCCACCAACATTTCATGTTAATTCCATCCCAAAACTAGTAAAAATACACTTACATTATCTCACTATAAATTAATAACTAGACTTTCTAGGTCATTACAGTCAACTCCAGCATCCTCACCACAATATAGGCTTCATCAGAAGATATTCCTATAATTAGTGTGAGTGTGCAAGTGCAACCTTCTCAAGTTGTGATTAGCTAGAATCAATCTCATTATGCCGTAGCTCCACCTCGTGTACAAGTCATACTTTCCAAGGATGTGGCCTGTCTCTTAATGAGCAACATCAACAGTATCTTGTCTGTGTAAATGTTTTCTAGAGATTCACCATAACCAAGTTTGTCCTCCACATAGACTTAGTTCTTCATTACCTCACCTATTAGAAAAAATTTCTCCCTGTTCACGCAAGGGTATGATGGAATATGACATAACAATTAATTAAGATAATTTGAGTTAATTTAGGATATTATTAATGTTATTCATTTCGGATACTTGAATAAGGATATTATTGTTCATTTTATCATTATTTTCGTGCCCGGACCGTGATCTCCCCGATGAGGAAAGATCGATAAATGTAGAAAACGGGAGTCGCCACCAAAGTTTTTGAAAAAACTTTGGAAAACTGTGTAATGAAAAAAGATAGTCTACAAAAAGGGTTCGGGAGTTGGTTGTGTATGAGGAATGTGTTAGATACCTCACGACACCCGTTCATAGAAACGGTTGCCCTAAGTTGATTGCGTAAATTAATTGACTTTTTAATAATATCTTAATTACCCTTTATTCCACATGAAAAAATGATAAAAAATAGAGGAAAATAAATTATTTATTTACATGAGAGGACTTGACCTAGGATCAAAACCTAGGGCCTATGTACCTTGTGATGGAAATCAAAGTCCACATAGTTTGAAATATTATTTTTTTAACTCTTCTAATCAGTTTCTTTATTGAAAAGATTGATATTTTGGGTTATATTATTATACTTATTTGTTTTAAATAATAATTTGTTCCAAAGAAGTACTTTTAGGTAAGAGAAAAATAATTAGTATTGGAACCTGTAGTGATTTAATATCGCTCACAGTTCAATGATTGACACTCTAAGTGTACACGGCGATTTAGTATCACTCATAAAAAACCCTAAAGGAATAAAAGGAATTTTCAAGAATAATTTTCTAGAAAGTATTTTAATAAGGAAATTTGGATAGACATTTTTAGAAATCCAAGGTGACTAAGTATCACTCATGGCATAACCCAAAATATGCCAACAAATTTGTTATTTTTACTTGAGATGACTTAATATCATTCACGGCATCTCATTTGATACTTTTTTAGGAATCCATAGTAATTTAATATCACTTATAATATAATCTAAAATATGTCAACAATTCTATTATTTTTACCTGCGATGACTTAATATCATTCACGGTATTTTGTTTGATGCTGTTATAGGTCCATGGTGATTTAGTATCACCCATAAAAACATAACAAACAATAAATTTTTGTTTTATAGAATAAAATAAAGGAAATTGAGGAAGATCAACCATAGATCCATCAGTAGCCCGTCAAATATAGGGACGCCTCTACTGTCATGAAAAAATGCCAAGAAGAACATGAAAAGAAGGAAGGGGAAAAAGAAGAAAAAGAAAAGGAGAATAAGTGGCAAGAATGTTATCATCATTAACTACATAAATTTTTTTCCTGAATTGTTGGCCATGTATTTGAATCATTGAAAGAAAAAAAAGAAGAAGAAAGGAAAAAAATGCAAAAGAGAAGGGCAAAAAGAAATTAAAAAAATAAACATAAGCACAAGCATTACATCACAAAATGAAAGGAGACAAATAAAAGAATATCACCTCACAATTTGTCAGACTTGGATGGCAATTCCAGGGGTGGCTTCGCATTCGGTGAGAGGCAAGCAATAGTGAGATTTTATCACCCTTCCCTTTTGTAGCTTGTGGTAGCTTTTTTTATTTCACACACACTCCTCACACTTTTTCATTCATGCGTCTTTTCTTATCTCAATTTTCCTATCTCTTATTTGCCTTTTTCTTCAATTTTTCTCTCCCCTTATGGCCTCAAATCCGTGCCTCCTCCCCAAAAATTTTTTTTCTCCTCTCTCCTTCTTTGTTATCCTTTTTATACACACCAACTAGGGTTTTTCCTCTTAAAGACAAAATCAAGCATACCAAGGCAAATCCTAGTTTGACTTTGCTTCATAATTATTTCATATTCAAATTATCACATTTAATTTGATAAGACCATAATTGTGGGGATTTGAAGGCCACAAAAAAAAGGAAAGAAACTCCTTTTAAATTGTGAAGATATTATTTTATTTTAATTTTTTTATAAAATCCTATTTTTCCTTTTTTTATTATATTTATTTAATTTACTCAATTCTATTGGGATTTTTATTTATTTTTAATTTATATCTGGAAGCCCAAACAAAATATGGTATTCACAATTATCTTATATTTATTTATCTTCAATAAAATAGGATATTAACATCCTATCAGCATTATCTTTTAAAATTTAAATTAAATTTAGTATTTGAATTTAAATTAGAATTATTTTATTATCTTAGGACTTTATAATTAGAGTTAGGGTTCTCATATTTTGAATATTAAATAAAATTTTTGAGAATTTAGCCTTGCCCTTCCTTTTTATATTTCTCCTTTATTAGTCTCTCTCTTCACTTAATTCCCTTTCCTCTTTCACATCACACATGTGAATCATAAATTGTAATAATGTTTTCGCCATACAAGCAATAAACTCAATGTGATTAGCTGGATGTAAACTCAATGGGTTGAATTATTACAGCAACACAGAATGCAAAACTTTTCAAATTCCAACAAGTAACAATCATATCGTACTGCCATGCTAAGGTGACAGTTAATGAAGAACAGTGATACAAAACATCTAGGTTTTCTGATGTATTCTTGCATCTTATGAAGAATTGGATTCATCACTGTTGGGCTTGATATATATACTGGCAAGAATATTCATTGACAATGGGCTTTGGTGAAGCTGGATCTTTATTCTTAACACTTTCATTTGCTCTTTCAC